TCAGCAATCAAGTCAGTCATTTGGTGTTGCTTTTATGAATAGAATCACAATGTACATATATGCATATGTTTCTTCAAGACCCAATACAGGATCTCTCCTAAGAATTTCACCTCAGATTTTTTCAACTTTTACATCTAGCCCATTTAGGGAGATGTGCATACACAATCGTTCAACTGATATTTTTACAAATAATAACATCATCACGATCTTTCATTACAATCCTATTACGATGATCCAACTCTTGAAGGATTTCTACAAGATCAACATAATTGGTGAATGGAGGGAGATCGATTTGTTTGGTAGAAAATGATCTTCAGTCAGTGCAAAGAGTTACAATTTATCTTGACACGTCATAGAAACACACGTGCAAGAGCATTCCAAATCTCACGTGTGGTGTGTATTCAAATATAGCACTTCATAATCTCCGATGACATAGAAGTCTACAACCATTGCTTGACCTTTTGATTTTTAGCATGCCACTTTGCATAGAATGCACCAGTATCCAGCGGAGTGGATATTTTTTTCCATAATATACTCAAGCTTCTCACGTCTTGCAATCTGCATTTCCTTGATTTGGGACCATATATCATAGTTAACTTCGGTAAGAATAAAGCTGGCTATGATATCGAAGTTTTCAGATTGAACAACATAGTGCATCTAATTTTTTACATGTGTTTATTAGCAAATTACCATATAAGTAATTCTTTTACAATGATTTTAATTTATCCTCATTGTTTATTCTTATTAGAAAATATGTAATTTTTTATTTCCATAAAGTTATGAACTCCACTTATGTGAATGATGACGAGGTAGAAATCAAATATGCATTTCCCAAGAAGTAGATAGGCATTTCAATTTAAAGTAAAGATTAAACCATGCACAATAAAAACGTAACCAATTACTCAATTATAAAATTCTAGAGCCAAAAACAAGAAAAAAAGTCCAAATTTTAAATAAGAATTTGTAGTTTAAACCACTCCATGACATGAATTAGGACCTTGATTGACAGTTATACATAGGCAACACGCACATACATAATTAAACAACCTATGTACGGTGATGGAGCCAAGGGACAAATTAAAAAAAAAAAAAAAAAAATTCATAAAATAAATGGGCATGGGACAGCCGTTGATCCCCTCTTTCCGAACCTACCTATACATGCACATAAATTAATCAAGAACAATCAGTGTAAAATGCCTAAACAGAATATGTTCTTTTCACTCTTCTCAGCACCATCATGATTTATGTAGACAATGAAAAAAAAAATTGTCAAGAAGGCTAAATGTACCATTGCGTATTAGGAATTTATTTAATTACGCACAGTGAAAAATAAAAGAAATTTCAATTCCCATCAAGGATCTGCTTTGTATTTAGATAGAAATTGTGATAGAAATCATACCATTCTTTGATTTTGCAAACTCATTTGTTATTCTTTTATTTCAACAATCTTGATTTGTCATCCACAGCTGTCCAATTGTTCAACTTCCAATGGAATTCCACATAGGGAACAAGATTGAAAGAGAACCAGGGTTTTTTTTTCTTGTGTTAGCAAAAGGAATAAAAATTTTCTACAATTTCTAAACCCTAGTAGCTTATTTGTATAAGCCCAAATGGGGTTGACCCGTCTTTTAACCCGATCCCATATTTAATTAACCTATTTAATTTAATCTGGTCCATGAATTACTTAATTTGGGCCTTTTAATAAGCAACCCAATTAATTAAATTATCCAACGCTTGTTAAATTAATTAATTAATAAATCTCAATCTTCTATTCTTCTTTTGTGTATGACCCATTAGGTTTCCAATATCATGATGCCTAACAATGCGAATTATTATTTTGATCTAATCAAAATCGATAAATTAAAACATCCATTTTAATTTATTACTAATTCACATTCGTCATCCCATATTGACATCTAGCAATGTGTTATGACAATACATGTGATGAAAATTATCACTTGGTATGACAAAATCAAACTTATTTGTTTATCGTGAAACTATAACCCATTTGTCAATATGATTTCGATTATTCAATTTGCATGGGTCGAAGGCAAGAGGTTCATTGCAAGCCCCTGACCCGATCAGTTACGAGATATGGATGTGTCAATCTCAATTATCGATCATATATTTCATTCCACTATTAAATTAATATAAATCGAAAACTCCTTTTTAACTCATGAGTATACCTTGGCTAATGATTTTGTTATTAACTTAACTAAATGAAATGTAGATCATAATCTCTTATTATCTAAGAGTGACGAATTATTTATTAATATTACACAACCTTCATATGATTCTTAACATACCCCAACGATGCCATATTAACGGCCCTTTGCAGAGCAACATCCAACATCGTCAAAGTATGACTATCCTCATATAAGGTACTACGATAACCTCAAGTCAAAGGACCGATTTCACTATCGAATATTAGAGATTAGTCACTGATACTCAGATAGTTATTCATGTGAAATATCCCAGTGGGTCTCCAATGTTTTGTTCTATAACAAAACATCCGCGTGTTCATTTAAGTGTCATCACACTTTAACTTGTGAGATCAGCTACATATTTCACAAGTAAGAAATGTCAAACGTGATGGTCTATCCGTAACAATGATATTCGTATCTCGTCATTACTTACGAACACGGATGATTTAACATTCAATCATATATAATTTGTATCTCACTTATCACAACTCATTGTGATTAACAAATTATCAAGATTTGAATTTACGTACTTTATTATTTAATTAAATGAATATTAATTAAATAATAGATCTGTCACAAAATTACATCAACTATATATATTAAAAGTGCTTATGTCCAAAGTTGATTGGACATAGGGCATAACATTTACATACTCCAACTTCTAGATCCAATCACTTATGTATCTAATATCATAAAAGTCTACATGATGATCATGTTTATACTGCGACAACTATTTGTCAGTGGATCTAAAATATTATCAATTGTAGGAGTTTGTCATTTCTTTATATTATTTCTTTGATGAGATGATACTGCCTTAACATATGTTTGGATTATTGATGAGACCTTAGTTTCTTTCATTTAGGCGATGACTCTATTATTATCACAATACAATGGCATGTGATCAACAATGTTAAGAACTACTCCAAGTTCATTAATGAACATCTTGATCCACACTCCAACTCTTTACTGTTTCTGAAGTAGTCATGTATTAGGTTTGTTCTATTAAATCAGCGGCTGTTTCATATTTGGAACCTTTCCAAAATATCGTTTAAGAGTAAACCAATTTCTCCACATAAAATCTTCTCTCAAGATTTTATAATGATTGGGATGAGTTAAGTAATCATTTAGATACTCTATGAATCAAGTTGCTTATCACCTATATTTCATGAAAAATCCTTCAACAACCACAATTTCTGCGATTAAAATGTAGGGATGTCATTTTCTAATAATAATAATAATATGTCTTATACATATAATTCTAGGAATGCGACAATGCTCTCACTTTTTTCTTGTAAACACACAATTTGTCTTCAAGTTGCTTATCACCTATTAGCCTTGCTTTGTATGTATAAATATTTCTATCCATGTCAACCTTTTCCTTATAAACCATTTACAACATATGGGTCTTATCCCATCAGGAAGGTCAACCAAAGTCCAAACCTTATTTTCATACATTGAGTTCATTTTGGATTTCATGGCATCCTGTCATCTATATGAGTCAATACTTGACTTTGCTTCTGCGTAATTAGTAGATTCAGCATCCTCGATTAATAATACTTGATTATTAATCATGGATTTGCACCTTCTTGAAAGTTGAATGATCCTACTAGATTTAAACGGAGTTGTCATGTCCTCAAGAGTCTCTACTTCTTAATCAAGAGTATGTCCTTCATCAAGTGTGAGATCAAACTCAAATTCATCTACTTGTTCAACTATATCTATGAATTTTTGAACTCTTTCAAGTTCTATTTTGATCCTACTGTCCTCTTCTAGAGTAAACATTTTCTCTAAGAGGACAATATGCTGTAAGACAAAGACTTTATTCTCAATGGATTAATAGAATTGATATCCAGATCTCTGTTTAGAGTATCACACAAATATGTATTTATCGAATTAAGTCTCAGACTTATCTGATTTAGTGCGCTTCAAATAAGTGTCATAATATGAAACTTTCATATAAGATAAATTGGGACTGCTACCTTTACATTTGTTTAAATGTGACATGAATTAGTGTGTAGCACGCTGCAATCAATGCATAATTCCAAAATGATTTTGGGAGGTTTGCATAGCTTGTTATGAATCGCACTATATCTAATAGTTCACGATTCTTCTTTTTAGATATACCATTATTTTGCAATGTATGTAAAGGAGTCCACTACAAGAAAGTCTCATTCTCTTTTAGATAATCTAAAATTTCATCTTTATGATATTCTTCACTTCGATCATATCTTAGTGTAAGAGCACTTTTACCAATTTGTTTCTCTATTTTTGCTTAAATCCCTCGAACCATTCTAGATTTTCTTGCTCAAATTCATCAAATATACATGCCCATTTCCAAAATAGTCATCAATAAATATAATGAAATAAGAGAAACCTTATCTAGCATTAATTGACATGGGCCTACATATATCACTATGTATTAGACTAGTAATCATGCAGACATTTCTCCCTTTCAAGTAAAAGGAGATTTGGTCATTGTGCTTAATGGGTAAGATTCACATTTGTCAAATGATTCAAAATCAGTTGACCCCAAATATACATCTCTATGTAATTTTGAAATTGCATTTCATCTACATGACCAAGTCTACAGTACTAGATTTAGGTGTTATTCAGATTAACCCTATTATGTCTCTCAACTTCTATATTCATTATAGAATTCTTAGTATTTAGAATATAAATATCATTTTGTAGCTTACCATAATCATTAAGGTCTTATCAAAATAAAAGGGAACAACAATTGTCTTCAACATTAAAATAATTCATGTCCAAACATGAAATTTATTTAATGTTCTGGTAATGGTGGGTACAAAACAACATTTCTCTAATTCTAATACTAAACCTAAAGGTAACGATAAGAAATATGCTCATACAGGCAATGTAGCAACATTTACTCATCTTTAACGTGTAGGTCAATTACTCCCTTTTACAGTAGTCTACTTCTATTTAGTTTCTTCATATTTATATAAATATGATATCCACATCTGGTATCAAATGCCTAAGAAGCTCATGAAGTAGACATAAGCCTTGCAATTTTTCTTTCAACGACCTTTCATTCTATACTGATAACAAGGGTCATTAGATTAGGTATTGTCCTTCTTAGCTTAGACCGTCTTAGCCATATTGGATACTTTCCCAGAGCCCTTTTAGACTTCCTCTTATTAAAGGAATCAATGACTTGTCCATTTGAGCTTATTCATATCAGAATTCATAATTAATATGAATAACTCTCTAACAGAGATTACGAAACTAAGTAAACACTTAGTTCATGGTTCATGACTGAACCCCGATTGAGATAACTTATCAATGCCAATTGACACGGGTGGCAGTATAACAAAATTAAATTCTAAGACAGGAGAAAGAATAAAGAAGAATAAGGAAAGTAGCGATTATGGAAATTTATGGGATTTCTTTTAGTATTCTCTTACCTTAAGTTTAGTATTAATTTCCTTTCTAGTTTTTTTTAAAGAGATTATATTCTAAGTTTAATATTTTATTGCGTTAATTTTCATGCTTATAAAGACAATAATTCTGTAATGAAAGACAGTTTTTTTGAGTTTTATGAAATTAATCAGCAATTGGCAGATTTTTTTAGGAAGAAAGGATTTTCTTCTTGAATTGTTTTGTATCTCCAACCTTTTCCCTTTAAGTGGTGAGTCAAATCCAACTCTGTATCTTAAGAAAGTTGCCTGCAAGTGGTGAACACCGAGATTGGATAATCATCTGGTCTTTTTCTGAATTCTGTCTAAGGTGCTGTGAATTTTTCAGCATCAGATTTTCTGTGAATTTTTGGCATCAGTTTGTTCTATGAATTTTTCGGCATCAATTTGGTATCAGAGCTCCAGTTGTTATGGCTAATCGAGGTCGTGGTCGACGTGGCCCTGATGTTGAAAGACCAAACCGTGAGCGGGATCATCGTGATATTGAGAATGAAGCATTACGCAGGGCAGTGCAACAGCTTCAACAGCAATTGGCGCACCTCCAAACTGAGAGACAAGAGGCATTAAATCAGGAATCCGAGGAAGAAGATTCATATGGCGATGAAGAAGAGGGTAATCCATTCCATCGAGATCATAGCACGGGGTCCAATCGCTCTTGAAGGAATTGCAAGTTTGAGCGAGATTTCGACATCAAAGTTGATGTTCCAGAATTTGAAGGTAGAACGCAGCCAGGTGAATTTATTGATTGGTTGCATACAGTGGAGAGAATCTTTGAGTACAAGGATGTGCCTGAAGACCGCAAGGTGAAGATTGTAGCGATTAAGTTGAAGAAGCACGCGTCAATTTGGTGGGAACATCTTAAGAAACAGTGGCCACGTGAAGGGAAGAGTCGCATTGTGACATGGAAGAAGATGCGAAAAGCCCTCAAGAAGAAATTTCTTCCAGATAATTACAGGCAGGATTCTTTCCTTAAGTTTCATAATTTTAAGCAGAATGAATTATCTGTTGATGACTACACAACTGAATTTGAATATCTGATGTTGCAGTGTGAGATTGAGGAACCTGAAGAACAAACTATAGCCCGTTATCTTGGTGGATTACGTACCGAAATTTGTGATGTGGTTCAGCTACAGCCCTACTGGACTTTCAATAATGTTTGTAAACTTGCAGCTAAGGTTGAAAAACAGCTAATGGAGTGTCGTAAGGGAGCCTTTCATTCCTTGAATCGTGACACCGATTCTAATCGGGGGAACACAGGTCCGTTTAGGAGCAATCCCATAAAACCAGGTTCGTCAAAAGGTAACCTGAAGCCAGAAACGTCCAGTACTCAACCTGGCCGTCTCAATCCTCCTGTTGGTCGTCAATGTTTCAAATGTCAAGGTGTAGGACATATTGCATCAGATTGTCCTAATCGTAAAATTGTTGCCTTTGTGGAAGAGGACGAGGGTGAGGAAGAATTGGGCGATCCAACATATGACGAGGAAGTAGAAGAAGAAGTAATCTATGCTGATCATGGAGAATCTCTGGTGGTCTACAGGAGTTTGAGTGCAGCACATGTAGAAGATGACGACTGGTTTCGCAATAATATTTTCCACACGAAATGTACATCCCATGGCAAGGTCTGTGATGTAATTGTTGATGGGGGGAGCTATGAGAATGTTATTGCAACATCAATGGTGGAGAAATTGAAACTCAAAACGGAAGATCATCCCCAACCATACAAACTCTCCTTGCTTCGCAAGGGAAATGAGGTAAAGGTTCACAAGCATTGTCTAGTTCAATTTTCTATTGGTACTAAATACTCCGATGAATTATATTGTGATGTTATACCTATGGATGCTTGTCACTTATTACTCGGTCACCCATGGCAATATGATAGAAAAGCAATGCATGATGGATTTAAGAATACATATTCATTTGTAAAAGATGGGGTGAAGATTGTGTTAGGTCCTACAAAAATCGAAAAAGTTTCTCAAACATCGAGAGTGGAGAGCAATAATTTTTTGAGAAGAGCTGAGGAAAGAAAGAATATAGAGGAGGCGTGTGAGGCTTATGTCCTTGTTGTGTTGGAAGAAAATGAAGAGCATACCGAGTTGCCTCCAATCATGGGTAATTTACTCCACGAATTTTTCGATGTTATACCTGATGAGATACCACTCGGACTACCACCAATGAGGGACATACAACATTGCATTGATTTTATACGTGGTACTAGTCTTCCAAATAAGGCTGCTTATAGAATGAATCCGAAGGAGCAGGAAGAATTACAGAGGCAAGTTGATGATTTACTAGCAAAAGGGTTCGTGAAAGAAAATATGAGTCCTTGTGCTATCCCAGCACTTCTTGTACCGAAAAGGGATGGTTTCTGGCGTATGTGCATCGACAGCAGGGCGGTAAACAAGATTACGATCAAGTATCGGTTTCCAATTCCACGGCTTGATGACTTACTTGATCAACTACATGGTGCTTCTATATTTTCAAAGGTTGATCTCAGGAGCGGTTATCATCAGATCAGAATGCGGCCTGGGGATGAGTGGAAAACGGCTTTCAAGACTCGGGATGGATTGTATGAGTGGATCGTTATGCCTTTTGGGTTATCAAATGCCCCAAGTACCTTTATGCGCTATATGAATCATAAATTTAAAGCTTTTATTGGTCTATTTGTTGTGGTTTATTTTAACGACATTCTAGTGTATAGCAAGAATATTGAACAGCATCTGTTGCACCTTCATCAAGTTCTTGAGAAACTTCAGGAGTAGAAACTTTATGTCAACTTAAAAAAATGCCACTTTTGCACTACGAGCTTAATCTTCTTAGGCTTTGTAGTCTCAAGTGATGGAATCGAGATGGATCCAAGCAAGGTGGAGGCAATCACAAGTGGCCAGTCCCAAAATCAATTCAGGACATTCGAAGTTTTCATGGGTTAGCTTCTTTTTACCATCGTTTTATAAAATAATTCAGCACTATTATATCTCCAGTCATCGATTGTTTGAAAGGTGGAGTATTTAAGTGGACGGAGGAAGCACAGAAGAATTTTAAGTTAAGATAACAGAAGCTCCTATTTTGAGGTTGCCAAATTTTGAAGTTGTCTTTGAAGTAGAATGTGATGCGTCAAATGTGGGAATTGGTGAAGTCCTCAGTCAAGAAGGAAAGCCTATTGACTATTTCAGCGAGAAGTTAAGTGATTCTCGAAAACGATACTCTACATATGATGAGGAGTTCTATGCTCTTGTACGAACATTAGAGCATTGGAGTCATCACCTTTTGTCTAAAGAGTTTGTTCTCTTCTTCGATCATGAAGCATTGAACTATATCAATGGGCAACATAAGTTGAATCGCCGACATGCTCAATGGGTGGAATTTTTGCAGGCTTTTTCATTTACAATCAAGCATAAATTAGGTATCCAAAATAAAGTGGCTGATGCATTGAGTTGAAGATATTCCTTGCTAAGTACTATGGAAGTGAAGGTTCTCGGCTTTGAAGTTCTCAAAGGATTATATCAGGATGATCCATATTTTGGTGATATTTTAACTAAATGTGTAAAAGGTCCATTTAATCATTTTGTGTTACAGGATGGCTATCTGTTCAAGGATAATCGTTTATGCATTCTGCAAAGCTCTTTATGAGAAGCAATTATTCTAGAAGCTCATGAGGTGGACAAGCTGGACACTTTGGGCGTGACAAAACCCTTTCACTGGTGGCATCACAATTTTATTGGCCTAGGATGGAGAGGGACGTTATGAGACATCTAGAGCGTTGTAAGATCTGTCATCTGGCCAAAACTCATTGACAGAACACAGGTTTATATATTCCATTACCAGTTCCAAATTCACCGTGGAGGGAAGTTAGCATTGATTTTGTATTGGGGTTGCCACGGATACAAAGGAACAAAGATTCAATCATGGTAGTTGTTGATCGCTTCTCGAAGATGACGCACTTTGTTCCTTGTAACAAGACCATGGATGCTTCACATGTGGCTAATTTGTATTTTCGAGAGATTGTGCGACTTCATGGTGTACCAAAAACAATTGTCTCGGATCGGGATACCAAGTTTACAGGTCACTTCTGGCGCACTTTGTGGAGGAAACTTGGTACAAAATTGATTTTTAGCACATCTCATCAACGCAAACCGATGGGCAGATCGAAGTTGTCAATCGAAGTTTAGGCAATCTGTTGAGAAGTCTGGTGGGTAAGAATATTCGTCAGTGGGATCTTATGCTAGCTCATGCAGAGTATGCCTATAACCGTTCTACAAGCTAGACTACTGGTTGCACCCCTTTTGAAGCCGTGTATGGCCTGAATCCAATTAGTCCTTTGGATTTGGCACCTATCATTTCGGTACAACAATACAGTGGGGATGCTAATGCGAGGCCAAGGAAATAAAGATGATGCACGAGCAGATTCAGGAGAAAATTATTAAGCAAAATGAGAAGTATCGCGTTGAGGCTAATAAACATCGTAGACCAACTGTTTTCAAGGAGGGAGATATGGTGTGGATTCATCTTCATAAAGAGTGTTTTCCGAAAGGGAAGTATGCAAAGTTGATGCCTCGAGTTGATGGTCCATTTAAAGTCCTACAGCGTGTTGGGGAGAATACATACAAAATTGAGCTTCCAGTAGAGTATGGTGTTTCAACTACGTTCAATGTTTCAGATTTGTCCCTTTACCATGAGAATGAAGATGAAGCATTTCCAGACTCGAGGACAAGTCTTTTTCAATCGGGGGAGCATGACATGGGTGGCAGTATAAAAAAATTAAATTCCGAGACAGGAGCAAATTAAGGAAAGTTCTGACAAAATAAAGAAGAATAAGGAAAGTAGTGATTATGGAAATTTCTGGGATTTCTTTTAGTATTCTCTTACCTTAAGTTTAGTATTAATTTCCTTTCTAGTTTTTTTTTAAAAAGATTATATTCTAAGTTTAATAATTTATTGCGTTAATTTTCATGCTTATAATTCTGTAATGAAAGACAGTTTTTTTGAGTTTTATGAAATTAATCAGCAATTGGCCGATTTTTTAGGAAGAAAGGATTTTCTTCTTGAATTGTTCTGTATCTCCAGCCTTTTCCCTTTAAGTGGTGAGTCGAATCCAACTCTATATCTTAAGGAAGTTGCCTGCAAGTGGTGAACACCGAGACTGGATAATCATCTGGTCTTTTTCTAAATTCTGTCTAAGGTGCTGTGAATTTTCCAGCATCAGATTTTCTATGAATTTTTGGCATCAGTTTGTTCTGTGAATTTTCCGGCATCACCAATCATCTTCTATAATGAGCATTGATTGAAGATTCTTCTATCATTTTGCATCAGTATAGTTGGTTGGAAGTCTAATACCCTTCCACAAATGATTGTTATCATACAACTATTTGAAATGAAAAATCATGTGTTAGCATATATATACTCTCATGTTGCTTTCGTAACTCAGGTGACATAGTTACAAGCATCACACATGTGCAATACTACTCGCATTATCATGTTCATTATAATAGACAATCTTCCTTAATCGATTCATCAGCAAGTGTCTCTGGAAATGGCTACTTAAGGGCTAACCAATTTTCTCATGCCTGAGAACAATTCTAAGATTGCGGTGCCGATCAAGAAGACTTGATTTGATCGTTGGCATCCAACATACCCCTCAAATATATATAAAATACATCAATTAATTTACATGAACTTTTATTAAATTAACTATGCTCCCACTATTTGACTCAAATTTATGAACCTCTTGCATAAATTTATGAAATCTATACATGATTCCCAGTGGGCTTGGATCTCATTTGTTATATTAAGACCTTAAATGTATTCAATTAGTCTTAATAAAACATTTGGATAGATACTATTATCAATTATATCTCCATACAACTCTCAGATCATTAAATTGACAACTCCTTGTCTTTACACATTTTATGTGTTAGTTTAACATGCTTATAAAATTTATCTCCTTGAGTGTACTCAACAAATGATAAACTTTAGTTAAGTTGGACCCATCATTCAGAAATATCTAATAATTCATAGTGTCAAATATATCTCTAATAGACCAGCCTTGAGTGTACTCAACAAGTTTTGACGATTTGAGACTCTGATTTTTCACTATAATGATGGAAGACGAATATAAATCTGACTTAATATTTCAATGAGGGGTTTTATCATGCAATGTCTTATCGTGTGTGTGTGTGTGTGTCTATATATATATATATATATATATAAACGATTATAGACTTTTACTATCTAGTCTTCTCGAGCCATAATGAAGACTAGTTGGTCAATTCTCAGAGGGTATTGCATTGAATCAATATCAATGCACAATCTCCATGGTTTTCATCCTCTTCTTGTGTCTTCAATTAGTCCAACTACAACATATATTCTATATTAGTTGGCACACAAGCCTAAATAAAATTGGATTCCAAGGCCCATAGTAACAATAACAATAATGGACTCCCAATTCTAAAAGATTAAGAGCTCGCAGGCCCATAACAGTAAACAATAATAACAGACTAACAGGTCCAAAACAATTAAGAGCTCACAGGCTCATAAAACAACAATAATAAAATCAACCATTGAACACATCGACATGGTCAAGTACATAACCATTCACTAATAATACATTCATCACATAAATGCATTCCTATATAATATCTAATATTATATACAAATATGATTCAAGATTCTAACAATTAAGATCGTTTCTAAACTATTTTAGAGAAATGGATCGAAAAAATTAAATAATTAAATAATCATATTAATCAATTACTTTAATTAGCAAGTATATTTAATTAAAATCAAATTTTAATTAAATGTCAAATTAAAATTCAATTCTAATTTCAAGAATTTGGGGGAACTTGTTTAATTAAATCAAATTTCAATTAAATACAAAATTAGAGTCTAACTCTAATTTGTAGGAAAATTTTAGGGAAAACAATTTAATTAAAATCAATTTTTAATTAAATTTCAAATTAGAGTCCAACTCTAACTTGAAGAATATATTAGGGTGAATTATTTGATTAAAATCAAAATTTCAATAAATATTAAGTTAGAGTCTAACTCTAATTTAAATTGAATTAAGCTTTTAATTTAGGATAAAACTTCCAAATAAAATAAAATTCAATTTAGGGTCAAATTTTAATATTTAAGTTAAAATCTAATTTTAACGTAAATATAAAAGTTTGAACTTTAAATAAAATTTTAATTTGGATCAAAATAAAAAATATAGGATTAAACCCATTTGAGATATAATTTTAAAATCATTTTAAAATTCAAATTCAAATCATTTTGTAATTTGCAAATTGACCCAAATTTTAAATTAAAAGTAGACCTTTCCAATTTTACAAATTTCAAGACTGAATTACATTCTTTTGAAAATTATCTTCGACAAAGACAATTAAATATCAAATTTACGTATAATTAGTTGTACTTGATATTATCAACAGTTGGATTTATGTAGGAGCAACGAATGGGTTGAGCCGCTTGTGGACTTGGTTTGTTTGGACACGGCCATGGACGGCTTGGGCACATATAGGGACAAACCATGGCCAATCCAATCACCAAAAAAGTTATAGGAGACAAGCTAGCTCTTCTCATGAGTCCCAAGAGTCGGCTTGGGGACCACTTCCTTTATTTTTAAATTATTTGCTTATTTTTGGGCTTATCTTATCAAAAAATTTTGCCCAAAAAAAGGGGTGTCGCAGCCCACAAACAACAGGGCCGAGCAAAGCCTAGGATTTGGACACGACATGAGCAAAAGAGCCGAGCTTGGGTGTTTAAG